GTCGTCGAAGATCGAGTTGCAGAAGTGATCTGTGTATGGCGATTTCCTCGCATTGCAGAGCAGCGCGTAGCAGACGCCATCTCTCTGGCAAACCAGCATGGTGCTGGAGCCCGGCAGGGACCCAAGATGGGTGAGGTGCGTCCACTCATGTTGATCGTCGGTGAGAATCTTCCACCCCAGTCCGTAGTACGCCTTGGTCGGCGCGCCCTGAGGATCGTATCCCGCTGCGCCCGAGGGGCGGGCGACGGTCGCGTTGAGCAACGCGTTTGAGCGCGGAGGGCCAACCGCGTCGGCATAGTAGGTCGACGCATACTTCGCCATATCCGTGGCGGTCGCAATCCATCCCCCGTGGGCATCCATCGCTTCCAGGTTCCACACCCCATAGGGTTCGGGAACTAGCGTCTGACTATCGGGGTCAAAGACCGACGGGCCAACCCCGGGGTCGTAGTACTTTACTTCTCGCGGATCTTTGCCTTGTGACAAAGTGTGTCCTATCCGCATGTCGGTGACGCCTGCCGGAGCAAGGATTTCATCTCGCACAAACGTTTCGTAATCCATGCCGCTCACTTGCTCAATGATCCTTCCGAGCAGTAGATAGCCAAAGTTGGAGTAGCAGTACCGCTCGCCCGGCTCAAAGTCGAGTGGCTTGCTCAGCACGTAGCGAATCGTGTCGATTTGACTCGCGGGTGGTCGCTTTCGGAATGCCTGAGCGACACGGGCCGACTCGAACATAGGATCTCCCGAGATGCCGCGGTCCCATCCTGCGCGGTGTTGAAGGAGGAGTTCGACCGTGATTTCTTTGAGACGTGCGTCACTCAAGGCGTTCTGTTGCGGGAGGTAGTCGGTATCTTCCAGCAAGGGAAGCACAGGGGCGTCGAGATCCAGCTTCCCCGATTCAGAGAGACGGAAGATAGCCGTGGCCGTCAGTGGCTTCGAGAGGCTGGCGACTCGGAACAGGCTGCACGACTGAACCGGTGTTTTGTTTCCAACATCGGCCCATCCAAAGTTTCGCGCGTATAGCACCCTCCCATCGCGAACGACCGCCATCGATGCGCCGGGGATCTGGTGCTTGGCGAACTGATTGAGAAGATACTTCTCGAACGGGGGCTCCCAATCATCGGGTATTTCATTCCAGATGCGTTCTTGTGGAGTCGCGGTAGTCGAGTCCCTGGAAAGCGGCGACGGAGTATCGATGTTCTTGTCACTCTCTTGATCGCCCAGGCATGCCAGCGGCGCTAGGGCAGCCAGCAGGATGACGGAGAGTCGAAACAGCCTTTGGAACTCAACCATAAAGCATAAAGAGGGACATCGAATTCTTGATAGTAAAGCACCGCACGTGACTAGGCTGAGATCTGCGAGAAATCCGACGCGGAAAGTCGAGGTGGGCTCCCCGTGAGAGCGAGCTTCCCCGCCATAGCGTGTCCCCAGTCTTATAGCACGGTGCGATGTCCTCGCCGTGTAATGTGGGCGCGGATTACAGGAGATTTGCGCTGCAGCATAGCGTCCTCGCCGTACGGCTCTGCTAACGTCATCTTCAAGGATATCGACGGCGCCGCGTATAGATTGCCCCGTGTCTGCCCCCCTTCGAAGTAATCACTGCGAATGTCTCAGATAGTCGGTAACGCGCCCCTTAGGACTTGTGCTGAGTCAGGCGTTATGGCGGAGGTGCTCCGCAACTACCACCGAATTATCGTTTTCACCGAGGGGCAGGCCAACTCGGGATTCGCGAAGACCGCCATTAGTTTGTTGCGCTATCGTCAAGAGCACGTCACTGCCGTCCTCGACAGCAGCGTCGCTGGGAAGCGTTGTCAGGAGGTATTTGGAGCCGGGGGTGAAACTCCGATCTGTGGTAGTCTTGATGAGATCCCCCCGGCAGATGCTCTGTTCATCGGTATCGCCCCAGCCGGCGGAAAGCTCCCCATCGAGTGGCGGCCTGCGATCGCTGGCTGCCTGCGGCGTGGGATCGACATCGTCTCCGGTCTTCACGAGTTCGTCTCCGAAGATCCGGAGTTTGCTGAACTCGCACAACGGCACGATGTTCGGATCATCGACATCCGCAAGAACGGGCATTCGCGGGTAGCTGGCGGCGTCGCCTTCCGCAGGTCTAATCTGCGTATCCACACGGTCGGACAAGACTGCAGCGTTGGAAAAATGGTCTCGGCGATCGAAATCGACCGTGAACTTAAACGGCGCGGCCATGATTCTAGCTTTGTGGCCACGGGCCAAACGGGAATCATGATCGACGGCGCAGGCATACCTGTCGACGCCGTGGTCGCTGACTTCATCAGCGGGGCGATCGAATCGCAAGTCGTCGCGGAACAGCATCACGATTTTGTACTGATCGAGGGGCAAGGGAGTCTGGCGCACCCGAGCTTCTCTGGTGTGACGCTCGGACTGCTGCACGGCTGCGCGCCGCAAGGGCTAGTCATGTGCTACGCGCCCGCTCGGGAAGCGGTTCTCGGTCTCCCTCACGCGCAGCTTGTGCCACTGATCCGTTTGGTGGAACTGTACGAGAGGATCGCGAGCGTACGCGCCGCCGCCAAGGTCATCGGAATAGCAATCAACAGCCACGGCCTTAGTGAATCCGAAGCCGCGCATGAATGCGTCAGGGTCTCTGAATCGCTTCAGCTTCCAGCATGCGACGTGTATCGAGACGGAGCGGGTGTGCTAGTCGACNNNACGAGATACTCCAATGAAGTTAGAAATCCAGGTCCTCGATTCACCCCTGGCGCGCCCCTTCACCATCTCGCGTGGCACGATCACTAGTCAGCGGACGGTGATCGTTAGGCTCGAGCTGTTGGGAGTCGTCGGCTACGGCGAAGTCAACGAAAACGACTACTACGGGCATAAGGTCGAATCGATCGTCGCTTCGCTTAAAAGCGTCAATCGAGAGGTCGAGTCGTGTTCACTTGCCTCGGGTGATCAGCTTTGGAAGGAGCTGAACGAGACTTTGGCGGGCGATCTGTTCGCGTTATCCGCTCTGGACATGGCCGCACACGATTTGTTTTCCAAGTCAGCGGGGCAGTGCTGCTGGGAAACCCTAGGGCTGTCGTGGGGCAGTCCTCCGCCTTCGAGTTGGACCTTAAGCGTCGGGACTCCTAGTCAGGTCGTCAGAGAGTTTCAGCTCAATCCGGGCTGGGGAATCTACAAGGTCAAGCTGGGAACTTCACAGGATTTGGAGGTCATCGCCGCATTGCGTGGGCACACGGACGCGCTCATCCGTGTTGACGCCAACTGCGCCTGGAGTTCAAGAGAAACGGTCGAAAAATCGGAGGCGCTTAGCCAATTGGGGGTGGAGTTCATCGAACAGCCGCTCCCCGCTAACGCCCCCCCCTCCGAGCATAAATGGGTGCGAGAGGAATCCGCATTGCCGATCATCGCCGACGAGAGCTGTTGCGTTCCCGCCGACATCGAGCGCTGTGCGGAACTCTTCCACGGCGTCAACATCAAGCTTTGCAAGTGCGGCGGATTAACGCCGGCAGTACAAATGTTGCAAGAAGCACGATCGCTTGGCCTCCGGACGATGGTGGGCTGTATGGTCGAGAGTTCGATTGGCATCTCCGCGGCGACGCAGCTCTTGCCGCTCCTGGATTATTGCGATCTAGACGGCGCCCTGCTACTTGCGTCCGACCCGGCGGTTGGCGTGACCGTCGAGCAAGGCGTGGTTTCCCGGCCACGGCGGGCCGGATGTGGCGGGGTGCTCCGAGACGAGACGTGTTTCACTATGTGATCGGGTGGCGACCAGCAGCACCTACCTCTACGGGTTGGATTATGTTTTCTGACAAAGAATTCATCGGTCGAGTGCCTTACCACATCGGCGTCTTTGCGGGCGTCATTCTCATGGTCGGCACGCATCTCCCGGCGGCGGAGCGCCCGGTGGATTACTCGCCCGTGATCGACCAACTGAAAACTTTCATCCGCGACGAGGTCGCCGCCAAGGACTTGCCGGCGACCTCCATCGCCCTCGTGACGGGTGATCACTTGGTCTGGTCCGCTGGGTTTGGTTCGGAGAACAGATCTAACAATAATCCTGCGTCTGCAAGCACGGTCTACCGGGTGGGATCGGTCTCCAAGCTGTTCAATGCCTTGGCGGTGATGCGGCTGGTCGGTGAGGGAAAGCTTGACCTGGATGAGGACGTGAGGACCTATCTTACCGAATTCGCTCCCGCAAATACGTTCGGCACGGCGATTACGCTTCGGTTTNNGTCGCATCAGTCGGGTGTTGTGCGAGAGCCGCCAATTGGCAGCTACTTCGATGCGACGTCTCCGTCGCTCGCCGAAACGGTGGCGTCGCTCAACGACACCCGTATCGTTTTCGAACCGGGCACGCAGACCAAGTATTCCAATGCGGCCGTGTCAGTCGCGGGCCTCGCCGTCGAACGGGTAGCGGGAGAGCCCTACAACGACTACTTGCAGCGCGCGGTTCTCGATCCGCTGAAGATGAAGGCGAGCGCCTTCCGCCCGACGGCCGCGATCGAGGAGCACTTACCTGAAGCATGGATGTGGGCCCACCACTACGGACGGTTTCCTGCGCCCGCGTTCGAAATGGGCATTCTGCCAGCCGGCAATCTGTACTCCACGGTCACCGATCTCTCGCAACTACTGATCACGATGTTCCAGGAGTCGCCTCCCACTGAACTTGGGATTGACCGAGACGTGCTATTGTCGATGGTTCAGTTTGACAGCCCGGAACACCAACCAGGACACGATTACGGCATTGGATTTCGGCTCGGCGACCTAGATGGCCATCCCAGCTTTGAGCACGGCGGGGCGGTCTATGGTTACGCGACGCTCCTCAAAGGTATCCCTGAAGAGAAAGTAGGCGTCGTTGTGGCGATAGCTCTCGATGGCGCGAACGGTGTCGCAAACCGCATCGGCGACTACGCCCTACGTTTGATGCTGGCGCAGAAGTCCGGGCATCCCTTGCCGAAGTATGAGACGTCCCAATCGTTGGCGTTGGGCCAAGCCGACCGGTTGGCCGGGCGTTACCGATGCGGAGAACAGTCCATAGTAGTGGTCGGTAAAGGAAGCAAGGCATTTGTAATGTATCGCAACTCGCTCGGAGAGATCAGGCGGGAAGGCGAAAACCTAGTCATTGATGACGTGCTCAGGCACGGTCCCGCCCTGCAATGGAACGAGACGGCGGGGACGATCAAACTCGACGGACAGATCTGGTCGCGCCACAACACTCAGGATTCCCCCGAGAAGAGTCGGGCGTACCCTGACCTTGTGGGTGAGTACGGATGGGACCACAACGTCCTCTACGTCTACGAGGATCACGGAAAGTTGCGGGCGCTGATCGAATGGTTCTACGATTACCCGATGACCGAACTGGGGAACGATCGGTTCGGCTTTCCCGACTCAGGACTCTATAAGGATGAGCAAATCGTCTTTGTTCGCGATGCCTCGGGGGACGTCACGCAGGCGATCGCAGGTGGAGTACGGTTTCCGCGCCGACCTACTACTGCGGTAGACCCCTCCGAGGCGCCAAGCGGTGAGCTTCGGCCTCGGGTTCTCGACACGGAGTAGTCCTCCCCGAGAGTTAGCGATGATTACAGCTGGCCCTTCCTTCGAAACAATCCGTGGCGCCACCGAGCCGTTTGCAATCCCCGCGCCGCCTGTCGACTCCCATCGGACAGATTTCGCCTACCCCCATGCGGATAAAAGATGCCCCTTAGTGTGCTTGACTTGTTTACCGTCGGAATTGGGCCCTCGAGTTCGCACTCGGTTGGTCCCATGCGGGCCGCCAACCAATTCATTGTGAGTCTCAAGGAAACCTGTCACCTGAGTGACTGTGTTCGCATAGAGGTTCGCCTGTATGGCTCCTTGGCCCTTACAGGCAAAGGACACGGCACCGACAAAGCAGTGCTACTAGGCCTTGAGGGAGAGCGGCCCGAGTCGGTCGATCCCGACACTATGGAGGGCCGCCTCGCAGCGATCCGTGAATCGCAACAGTGCCAGCTGCCGGAAGGGCCGACGATCGCCTTCTGCGAAGAAACGGACCTCCTCTTTCTCCGGAAGGAGTCTCTGCCATTCCACCCCAACGGAATTCAGTTCTCAGCTTTTGGCCAGCACGGCCAGCCGTTAGCGGTCACGAAGTGCTACTCAGTCGGGGGCGGCTTTGTCGTCGGTGAAGACAAGGCTCGCGCCGACTCCGCTACGCCCTTGGTCAGCGGTAGTGCTTATCCGTTCAAGACGGGGAAGGAACTGCTGCAACTCACCTCCGACAAGCAACTCTCGATAAGCGACTGCATGCTCGCTATTGAATCGACGTGGAGAAGCGAGGCGGAGACTCACGCCAGGCTACTCACTATTTGGAAGGCAATGCAGGATTGCGTGACGCGTGGATTCCATCAGCGGGGGATACTTCCCGGCGGATTGAAGGTCCGCCGTCGAGCGCCGGAACTCTTTGACTCCCTCGCACGTCGAGAACGCGAGAATCAGGCGAGTCAGACCGCCATTATGGAGTGGGTCAACGTGTTCGCCATGGCGGTGGCTGAAGAGAACGCCGCTGGCAGTCGCGTGGTGACGGCGCCGACCAATGGAGCCGCTGGGGTGATCCCCGCCGTGCTNNGTTCCGCAGGCGAATGAAGAAGGGATCGTGCGATTCCTGCTCGCCGCGGGTGCTATAGGGATTCTCTACAAGTTGAACGCCTCGCTTTCCGGAGCCGAAGTTGGTTGTCAGGGAGAGATCGGCGTCGCCTGCTCCATGGCGGCGGGAGGGTTGGTTGAGGCGCTCGGAGGAACCCCTCAACAGGTAGAAATGGCGGCTGAAATTGGCATGGAACACAATCTCGGACTCACCTGCGATCCGATCGGCGGTCTAGTTCAGATCCCTTGCATCGAACGCTGCGCCATGGCGGCGGTCAAGGCGATCAACGCCTCTACGATGGCGCTCAACAGCGACGGGACCCATCATGTAAGCCTCGATCGGGTGATCCGAACGATGCGTGACACGGGTCGAGACATGTTGACGAAGTACAAAGAGACTTCACGCGGCGGACTCGCCGTCGCCTTCACTGAGTGTTAGCCCGACGACACGCGTACCGCCATAGAGGGAGATCCCACGATGCATCTGATGCACGGCGCTCCGGGCCGACGAAACACTATCGACAACGGGGAGTATCTCTACTTCTGCGGCACCGGCTACCTCGGCCTCCAGAATCACCCCAGGCTCATCCAGGCGTCATGCGAGGCTGCACGACAATACGGCATGGGGACCGCTACGTCGCGTACGGGCTACGGGACCGCGCCCCCCGTCGCAGAGGTAGAGAAGAAGTCGGCTCAATTCTGGGAAGCCGAGGACGCCTTCTACTTCGCGTCGGGCTATCTGGGCAACCAGGTCGTATTATCGGTCCTGGCGAAGTCGGCTGGAGTCGTCCTTCTCGACGAACACTCTCACTACAGCATTATTGACGCCTGTAAGAGCTCTGGATTGCCTGTCGTCCGGTTCGCCCACAACGATACGCAGGCGTTGCAAGAGGCTCTACGAGCGAACGCGGAGCCGGGGAATGCGCCATTGGTCATGTGCGACGGTGTCTTTGCCACTAGCGGCGAGATCGTTCCGATTCGAGAGTACATCGAGGTGCTCCAGGAGTACGATGGAGCCATGCTCTGCCTGGATGAATGCCACGCGTACGGGGTGCTCGGCGAGACCGGTCGGGGCGTTTATCAGCAGTACGGCATCGCGTTGAGCCGGGTAAACCAATCTCTCTCCGATCTCGACCCACCAAGCGGGACGCGACTGTATTCGCTTGGCACGCTGAGTAAGGCCTTTGGGGGGTACGGCGGAATCGTCGCCGGCTCACGTTCTTTCATCGAGGAAGCAAGAAACTCGTCACGCTACTTTAGCGGTGCGAGCGCGCCGCCTACTCCTGTGGCTGCGGCGAGCGCCGCAGCGCTCGAAATCGTCGCCGCGACACCCGAGTTGGTCACGCACCTCCAGCATAATGCGAGATCCCTCCGTCAAAGACTCCGTTCCCTGGGCCTCGAAGTTGACGACATCCCAACACCTGTCGTCGGTCTCTCAATAGGGGACGAAAACAACATGCGGCGAATACAGCAGGGAATGGCGGATGACGGAGTCTTAATCGCCTACGCAAGAGAATATTCCGGCCTCGGTCCCTGCGGGGGCTTGCGGATCGCTGTCTTCGCCACGCACACAGAAGCGGACCTGCGTGATCTATCTGGATGTTTGGCCCGGCGCCTTTGACGAGCGCCGCCTACCTGCGGGCGGGCGCCGTCCGTCATCGGCGTGACAGCAATAGGCGGATTGGCTCAGCAAGCATGCTGTTGTCCGTTAAAAACCACTCATTCCACCCCCTTTCGGTTGGCGCCGATGCACCCATTGATCCATCCCAACGACGCGTGGACGCTCTGGGCGGTGATTGTCTCTTGCACGGCAGGGGCGATCTGGCTCGAGCAGTCGTATAGATGGGCGGCGACGATCAGCGGCCCCGTCCTGGCGTTGGTCGCCGCCATGCTGCTCTCCAATGTAGGCGTCATGCCGGCGGAGGCTGCCAGTTATGAGTTTGTGGGTGACTATTTGGTGCCATTGGCGATCCCGCTGCTGCTGATGCGTGCGNNATCTCGTCCGTATCGTTCGGGATTCTGGCTGGATGCTTTTCGCGTTCCACTTCAGCGTCCTCGGAACGATACTCGGCGCGGCGGTTGCTACTCTCCTCTTGCATCGAAGAATCGAGGACGTCGCCGATGTCGCGGCCCTGATGACGGCGAGTTACATAGGCGGAGGGGTGAACTTTTTTGCCGTGAAGGAGACTTTTGGCGTCAGTGAGAGCCTAACGAACCCGCTGCTGGTGGCCGACAACTTCATCATGGCGGGGATGTTCCTAGTGCTCATTTCGATCTCTGGTAACGCTTGGATTCGACGCCGCTACGCCACGTCACCGCTCGTTGATCAGGTGAGACAAGTAACTCCACAAGAGTCCGATCACGACAAAGCCGGCGAAGGAGAACGAGGGGGGAGTCGGCCAATAGGCATACGCGATATCTCCGCGAGCATCGCCATCGCGTTGATCGTGGTCGCGCTGGCGAACCAAACCAGTGGCCTCGTCGTGAGGTGCTTCGCACCGTCCTTTGTGGCGTCGATACTCGGCAATCTATTCGTGATGATCGCCGTCTACTCGATGCTGGCGGCCACGGTGCTCTCGACGGTGGTGAGCCGTATCGTCGGCTATGAAGCGATCGGCGGCTTTTTGCTGTACCTGTTCCTTTTCACGATTGGACTTCCCGCGGATATCCCCGCGGTCATCCAGAATGCCCCCGTATTGCTGCTGTTCTGCCTTATAATGGCGACGACGAACCTTGTCGTGACGCTAACCCTGGGGCGAATTTTCAAGATCGACCTAGAAGACTTGGTGATCTGCGTGAGCGCCACTCTAGGTGGGCCGCCGACGGCTCTCGCGCTGACGATCGCAAAGGGATGGCATCGACTGACAGCGCCGGCGTTGCTCGTAGGCATCTGGGGTTATGTGATCGGAACGATGCTAGGCATCACGGTGGGGGAACTGCTTCGGTAGAGCTTCGGATACTGCTTATCGAGTATTAACATGTCCCGAATAGTAGTACCATGCGAGCGATTTTTGTTCGCGATCGTGAAAGCATAGCCGCGCTCGGAAGCGGTGACCGGCAGTCCGATAGTTCATGTCGTACTCTCGGACCGCCTGGCGGCGGCTCAGCTCACCCGTCAGAACGCGGCGACGGACTTCGGCCACAGCTCAATATCGGTAAGCACTACTTGCGCCTCGCTCGCCAGAGGAAGCAGAGATAGCCCTCGGGAGGAGGCTTTGCGCCCGCGCCACGGCTAATCAGCTGCCTGCGAATGGCTCACTCAGCACAGCTGCGCTCGGCAGCCGAAGTGGGCACCACCCGACGTCCTCAAGATTATGGGCAATACTTTCTAAAGCCTTAACTGCCTTGCTCGAACGCTGATTGCGTCAATATACCACCGCCTTGTTTCGCTTGAAAATGCATGCAAATCATTGCGATCTCTAGCAAGCATAAGCTTAACTGCGAATGCTAAAGAGGTAACGTCTTAAATGCCTATTTACACACACGTTTAATTACGGTGTTTGGATGTAGGCCACGTCATTGTCCAGCCGTTTCGGATGCCCCGTGCAACCGGAGCAAAGGCCCAGCCGTCTCTTTCTGCGGGGCGTCTAGCGTCGTTCGGCAAAGGGCAGGTGGACCAATCCGTCGTGCGTAGGGGCCGCCCCTCAAAGCCCCAGCACTGCAAACGGTGCGCGGGCCACGCTGGTGACCGTCCAACGATCGCAGACGCGTCGTCAACTTGGAAAAAGCCTGCCGATCGAACGTAGGCTGGGCGTTTGGAGAAGGTCACCTGGCGTGACAAAATCGGCGATCACCGGCAGAACGCGAACGGCTGGGTACGCATCGTCGCTCGGGAGTCCGCACGCCAACCGATAGCCGCCGTCCACTGTCGGCGCTTCCGCCATTGCCTCGATTAGGTCCGCAGCCGACTGATCAATCTGCGTCTTGGAAGGGGGGTGTAACGCTGAGTCCGAGACCGCCTTCCCACTGATCTCCGATGTGGCTGATGTAAATGCCGCACCTTCTGGCTGCGTATTCACGTACGCATATATCAAAGCGTCCAGCTCTGCGTCGCTGACTTCTTGACGGATCGCGGCGGCTCCGTAGTTTTCGCGTGGATGGGCGGGAGCTCGGAGTTGCTCCGCCAGCAAGCTCTCTGGGTGGATCGTCGGAATATGCGTCTCAGGTTCCGAGCCGAATATCCGCTCACGTGTCCGGCGACCAGTCCACCGGCGTCTTTCTTGCTGGGCCGACTGGGAGAGGATCGAAAGGGTGTAGGGGTCGTCGTCCGCGGCGTCGGCTTCGTCGTAAGAGCGAAAAACAAACTCGGAACAGATCATCGGCTCTCTTCCTTCGGCGATCATGCTTCGCACGAAGTTACTCGCCTTGGTCAGGGCCGCTTCGACGATCGTCCGCAGCAGCCCGTCACGAAAATCGATCTTCCGGGTCAAGCAAATGCCCGCGACGAGGAGGATCTGATCAAAGCCATAGCAATTTCCTTCCTTCAACCGACGCCAAGCCGTGTCCAATACCAGCCGGCGATCGGTAGCAGACGGCAAGCGTCTTACCTCAACCCAATTACATCCCGCGACACTCTCGGCCAACGGATTTGTGTTGAGGCCCGTATTCCCCATGATCAGCGACTCGCCTACCAGCCCGTCGCCCATGTAGAGGCCGGCGTGACTTACTTCCGTGCCATCTAGTTTGCGGATGAGGACCGACATTGCGTTCCCCCAAGTATTGGCGGCGCGATAGAGAAGAACGTCGCCGGGTTCGAGCTGCGATTCTTGCAGGGCAATCATGATCCTTCTCCAGAGAATGAGGGTGTGTACAAGCGTACCCTTCGGCGGGTTGGGCTGTAAATGGTCCGGTCGAACGGATCATGCCGGTCGAATCAGATAGGTGGTTGCGCCATGCGGCGATTAGATGCTATAATCGCCGCAGAAAGTGCGGTGAATAGATGCCCTATATCCACGAATTGGCCGACTGGCCGAAATTGACCTGGAACGCCGAGGCGCTAGCGGCGCCCCTAGCGGCGGTGCGCCACGACCAGGGGCGATTGCTCGGAAAGATGGAGACGCTCGGCTTCGATATGCGAAGCGAGGCCAGCCTGACGGTGCTTACCGCCGACGTTGTGAAATCGTCGGCGATCGAAGGCGAGAACCTTGACCCCGAGGAGGTCCGTTCTTCGATCGCCAGCCGCCTCGGGCTCAGCGTCGCCGGGCTGCCGCGCCCTAGCCGTCACGTGGATGGCGTGGTGGAGATGATGCTCGACGCCACCCAAAAATTTGCCGCCCCGCTAACGGACGAACGGCTCTTCGGCTGGCACGCCTCGCTCTTCCCCACCGGACGAAGCGGCCTGGACCGGATCGCGGTCGGGCGGTGGCGTCCAGAAGAAGCGGGAGCAATGCAGGTGGTCTCCGGACCGATCGGCAAAGAGAAGGTGCATTTCCAAGCGCCGTCGGCGTCGCGCCTAGAACAAGAGATGACGACTTTCCTCACCTGGTTCAATCAGCCCAAAGCCACCGACCCGGTTCTGACGGCAGGGCTCGCGCACTTCTGGTTCGTGACAATCCACCCGTTGGAAGACGGCAATGGACGTGTGGCCCGCGCGATCGCCGACATGTGCCTGGCGCGCGCCGATGGCGTGAAGGAACGCTTCTACAGCATGTCCGCCCAGATCGAAGCGGAACGCAAGGCTTATTACGCAGCGCTCGAACAAACTCAGCGCGGGGGCCTCGATATTTCCGACTGGCTTGCGTGGTTCCTCGACTGTCTGGGTCGCGCCATAGCTGCGAGCGACGACCGATTAGCGGGCGTCCTCCGCAAAGCCAAGGTGTGGGACTCGCTAGGCGCAGCGGGCGTGAACGCGCGGCAACAGAACGTGCTCAATCGAATGCTGGGCGACTGGGAGGGATTCCTTAGCNNCACCGCACTACGCGATATCCACGAGCTGGAGCAGCGCGGAGTGCTCGTAAAGAACCCCGCAAAGGGTCGAAGCACCAGCTATCGGCTAGCGGACCTTTAGTTCCGCCGGCGCGATTGGGGTCGGCGGTCGCCCTCCTCCGGCTGTGCCAGCGATTGATTTCCAGAATCTATATTATCGCTGTACGGCACAGGCCACATTTCGCCGCCGTAACTAATCCCTATGTCCGCATTATTTGCCGTTCGCTTGCGAATCAACACAATGTCGTCGTAGTCAAATTAAATTGCCTACCGCAGATTCATAAAGGCTTTCTAATCAAGCATCATTCTACTCCCACCGCCTTGAAGGCGGCGTCACGAGGATCGGAGTAAAAGCCCGTTTGAAACTTAGCAAAGAGCTCGCCCGGGATGGTGGGAATGTCACCCACACTGGCCATCGGAAGCAGCAGTCGCTTAGCGCCAGCGTCGTGAGCCACTTGCAACGATTCTGCTAGGTTCTCGACAGGGATGACGTTCCCGCCGAGGCTCATGCTTCCCAATACAACGAGCTGGCTCTGCAGCGGCTTTCCTAGAACTGCCGAGCAAAGTGCGATGAAGGTCGTCAGCGTGAGCGCCGATGTCGGCCCCGTGTTGTGGAGCTCGACAACCTGCAGATGGTAGTCGTGGTCGGAAACTTTGACCGAGGCACTGACACTGCTGGCGTTTGCCTTAAAGAAGTCGAATCCTACTTTGATCGCTTCCTTCGCGTTCTGATTGGAGCCGAGACCCGACATCTTGAGCGAGCCGTTGCCCGCGGTCACTTGCGTCTCCAGTCGGTACAATCCGAGGTGCGAGTCGGCTCCGCCGGTCGATACGGTGTGAAGAACACCCGGGTTGAGAGGCCCGTCAGGGATTAACGTCCCTCCGCCTTGCTCGGCAACGCTGATGAATTTCTCCTCGGACGTCTCCAGGTCGATGTAGCTAAAGTGCACATCGTAGAACTCCATGCCCCCGATTTTCTTCAGCTGTTCTTTCACCCGGCGGCGCACTTCAAGCGCGTACTCAAGACACCGTCGCACCGCCTCTTTATCGTATTCCTCGTTTGGGTAAAGCAGCTTCAGCAGCCCCGAGACCGTATGGCGGACCGCGATCGTGTCGCGCTGGTTCAGATCTCGCCCTAGTTTGAAGTACTTGCTAACCGCGTCGCCGAAGTTGCGCTTCCGCATCTCGCGGACCCACTCGGCGAAGTAGTCAACGATCATGCCGTACTGGTTCGTAAAGAACTCCGGCCGCATCTTCGGGATCTCCCACCCCGGGATGTAGGCGTGAAAGCGATCAAAAAACGCGGAGTCAATCATCGTCTCCGGGAACGGCGCAAGCAGGTGGCTAGTTTTTACCAGGGTGTCTACTGGTTGGTTAATGTTGCCGACGAACACCATCGACGCGTAGGCATTGATCGAATCTCGACCGCGTGCGAAGGAGCCACTCGCCATGTAGTCCTTCATGATTTGGACACCGTCTTTGTCCTTGAAGGAAATTCCCGCGACTTCGTCGAAGGCGACGACGTCCCACAGTCCCACCAGGCCGACTTGCCGCCGCGCAAGATTGTAGAAAAGGTTGGCGACGGTCGTCTGTCCGCCAGAGACGAGAATGCTGTTTGGACTGATTTCCTTGTAGATGTGGCTCTTGCCGGTGCCGCGTGGGCCCAACTCGCAGACGTTGTAGTTGTTCTCGACGAGTGGAACCATCCGGCAGAGCAGGTGCATCTTCACGCGCGGTTCGAATTGAGTCGGCTCGTACCCGCACGACCGCAGCAGCGCATCGATCCACTGCTCTTCTGAGAAGAAACGCCGTCCCGCGAATAGCTCGTCCATGTCCATGTTCGCCATCTGAATCGGCTTGAGATCCTCGATTATGAACGGCGAGCCCTTCTGCCCCTCCTCGTAGAAGTACTGCATGGTCATGATGGACCAGATGCCGCCCGCCAACAGCTTCTCGTACTGTTTGACCGTGCCGGTGGGGATCTCCACGCCCTTGGTGCCGAGATTCGACAACACCGCTTCGTAAGTGTCTCGTTTCTCGTTGAGCGTCACCGTCACCTTGTCGATGATCTTCAGCCTGCCCCGCTCACGGATCGTGGACTTTACCTTCTCCGCTTCATCGGGGCGGACATAGTTGTCCGCCAGGATTCTCTTGACTGTGCCGAGCCCTTCCTCGATGACCGCCGGATCGTCTGACGCGCAGTAGTTCCCCAGCAAATATTCCAGCACGTAGACTGGGACGTTGGCCCCTTCCTTGACCAGCTTGGTCAGATCCTTGCGCACCACCCTGCCGCCAAAGTGGCGATTGAGCAGTTCGTCGAGGCCGGTGTCGATCTGGTCGCTATCAGAAGTCAAAGTCATCGCTTATTGCCCGATCGATGGTCACGTCTTGGCTTTGGAGCTCGAAATCCGTAGCGGCGTCCTTCGCCACGAGCCGGTACCGCTTGTTCTTGTCGAATGCCTGATCTTTCAGCGTCAGCATCACGGCCTGCTGGCGGTCGTCTAGGTTAGCTGAGGTGCTCGCGAACGTAACGGTCTCGATGCTCGAAATCGGTTCGTCGCGGTCGTAGAGGGCGATTTTCACCGTCAATGGCTTGGCGCGGTCGCTCACCGGCTCCATTTGGACCAGCTTGAAGCGGTGCGAGTGGGTCGTAACCTTGTGATTGCCGCCCAGCACCGAGAACGAGACGCTCTTCGTACGCGTTTTCTCTAGCTCCTTCCGGCTCTTCGACTGACGGACGGTGACGACTGGCACCACCACCTCCTGCGGCATCGCGCCCCCGTGGATGAACCGGGCGCCGCCGGTGAAGTGAAAGCGATTGGCTCCCTTCGGAACCCAGAACTCCATGCCGCCAGCGCATTTGGCTGTCGCCTCCGTCGTCCCCCGCCATGCGTCGTCGTACAAAGGTAAGTTGTAGCCAATGAGATAACGCTTCTTGGCCTTCACCGTCCCAGCCGGCTTGTCAGCGAGCTTGCTTTTGTCGGTCTCGCCGGGTGCGGATTCGGAGAAGAGATACCCGTGGTCGGCCGTCACCACCACGTAGTTCCCGTTCAGGTTGTTCACGATGTGCCGCACGATGTCGGCCAACTCTCGGATCGCCTGATGGGTGGCGTGAAAGGTGTCGCCCTCCGTCGCCGCATTCTCGCCGCGCGTGTCGATCTCGTTGTGGTAGACGTACACCACCTTGCTCCCCTCGATCAGCTCTCGGCCCTCTTCCTTCCTGAGGGCCAGCAAGTCGTCCGCTTGAACTACAATCCCGTCTACCTTCGACAGGATAGACGCGCGGTTCTCCGACCCGGACGTCGAAACCCCGTCCGCCAGCACGTCGCCCTTCTCGGTGTACTCTAGCTGCCGATGCGGCAGCAGGCTCGCCATGCCTAGCGCCGTGTACGACGGCAAGACGCACAGCTGCGACTCAAGTTCGGCCTGGAACCGGTACTCGCCGTTGAGAGTCTTGGTTAGCTCGGTCGCGGATTCGTAGCGGAACGCGTCGCTGATCACGACGAACGAGCGGCGGTTCTCGGCTTCGTTCTGACGCGTCGCCACGTTCCTCTCGTAAAACTCGTACTGATTAGGAACGCCGGGGATCTGCCATCTTTCCAGTAGTCCTCCTCCGAGGAACTTGGCCCACTTGAGTGCGAGCTGCACCAAGAACCAGTTCTTGTAAGCCGCCTCCATCTCCTGGCGGAGCGGCTTGAGGATGTCCCACCCATAGGAATCCGCTACGTCGGCGTTGACGCAGAAGTGCCGGTAGAGTTGGTCGAAGCGGTACAACTCGCTGGTGTAGAGCTTGTAGATTTCCGCCGCCGTGTCGCCGTCAAATCCCTCCGAATGACGATTCTTCAGGTCAAAGAACTCGGCCGCGACCGCGACGGCCTCGTACGCGGCAAACCGCGCCTTGCGCTGCTGTTCGGGCACCGAGAGCGAGGCGATCCAATGTCCCTCCTGCCGACGCGTGACGATCTCACGAAGGGACTCGGCATCCACGTGTTCCTTCGTCGCGGTTAAGCGTTCCAGGAGGCCAAGCAGGATCGCCCGGTCCACGCTGCGGAACGTCAGGCCCTCGATGAGCTTCTCGGGCTCCAGGCCTTGCAGGTTCTCTTCGATGTGGGTCGCCGCCGCAATCGCATCGGACAGCAGATTGAAACTAATCGCCTGTTTGGCGCTGTCTCTCCATTGGCCCAGACAGACGACGGCGTTGTGCGTCCCATTGCGGCTGAGCTGCTG